AAATGACACAAGATAAATTTGAATATTCGTATCTCAATCCACTTCCACAAAAAAAGTTCCTTCATATTGTGTATTCAAAGATTTTTCATCAACACTTACTAGTAGGCGACATACACTTTTAAATCTTTGAATAAAAGCATTCAAATATTGTCCGGACTTTCCCCAGACCATTGCCTTATGACTAAGATCTTTTTAACCCCTATCTCCTACCGACTATAGTCCTTCCAACATCTGTCGTTTACTACGATCCTTCCGACCTTCATTTCTAGATAACAGTCTTTTTGACCCCTATATCATGCCGACTATGGTATTTTTGGACCACCATTGCCTACTACGATCCTTCCGACCTCCATCGTCAGATAATGGTCTTTTTGACCTCTGTCTTCTGTCGACTATGATCCTTCTAACCTCTGTCACCTACTATATGGTCCTTTCGACCTCCATCGCTAGACAACGGTCTTTCTGACCACTATCTACCGCAGACTATAGTCCTTCCGACCTCCCTCGCTAGACAACGGTCTTTCTAACCACTATCTCCCATAAACTACAATCCTTCTGACCTCCCTCTCCAGAATATTATCTTTATGACTACTGTCTCCTGCCAACTATAATCCTTCCAACCTCCCTCACCAGATAACGATCTTTCTGACCACTGTCTCCCACCGACTACAGTCCTTCTGACCTCCCTTGCCAAACAATGATCCTTCTGATCCCGTCACCAGACTACGGCCTTTCTGACCTCCGTCGCCCATCAATTATGGTTTTGTTGACTAAACAAACATTTCAATACTAATTCTTCAAATTCCCACCATGTAATATGATGTACATTCACTATAGGAAAATCACCCAAAACCGACGATTTTTTCCGGCGGCTTTGATGGTAAAACCGGCAGTTTTCAAAAACACCGGCTGCTTTTCAGCGGTTCTCCAACCATGTAGGTTTTTTCCGACGGCTTTGATGGCCAAACCGCCGGCGCAACCGTCGTTATTACCGGCGGCCATATACCGCCGGTATTGGGTGTTTTTTCTGTAGATATTTGCTGCATCAACCAAAGGCCTTCCCCCCAAGGAAGGACCTCATTTTTAATCGACCGCAAATAATTGTGTATTCATTCAAACTAGGTCAGGCCCCATGGTTTTCCCCCCTTTCAGAGGTTTCCACGTAAAAACTCTAGTATCTCTTATGAACGCTACACCCTCTCTTTTATTTGCTTGTGTGTTGGATCTTCATACAAAGTTAAGACATTAAATTTTATGTTTCTCTACTGCCGCGAATATTTCAGGATGCAACAATATTAATCCTAAAATAATTTTAATATTTTTAAATTAATTCTAATAAAAAAATTAATTGATCTTTTTTTTTCTTCTTAATCGTACGAATCTGACCTTTCTTGGATCTCATGACAACCTTTAATTTCAATTTTTGTCTATGGCTTAGCTTGGTTAATAGTATTTTTAATTTTTTTTTAATAAATGAATTGTAATTAATTTAAATTTTTTATTTATAAATAATTATCGCAAATTTTTATCGAATTTTGTGTGAAGAGTTTGTTGAGCAAATATTTTATTATCTTAAAACTATTTTGTTTATTCAATTAAAATAAATTAATATTAATTTTTGGAATTCATTAAAGGTGGGTTAGGGATTTAGGCCCTCTAAATATGAGTCATCTAATTTATTTTGGGTTATTAAAATAATTGCATTTTAACTAAAAAAAGATTGAAATAAATATAATCAATATTAAACATTCAATAATTGAAAAAAAAAATCAACCATAAATAACATGAGTCAAATAATAGACAAACTTCATTCTCAATACAAGATGTTATGGTTGGGTTCTTTGTGACATTGTCAAATCTCTTTGAATGGTGATTGTCATTAAAGTATATTAGTTTTTAGAGAAAAAATAATGATCCCATTGCTTAAAGCCAACCTCAATCTCAAGATGAGATATTATAGTTGGGTTCTTAACACATATTTTGTCAAAGTGGTTATAAAACTTAACTCCGCAAGCCTTGAAAGCCATATGATACTTATTGCGATAACTATTGATTTTGATCTTGACTGTGATATTATTTGATATATGATGAGTGCAAATGCTATGGTCTGGTGTGCCTCCATAGAAATGGATGAAAAAGCTCATGTCTTTGAAAGACACAAACCATATCCTCAACTGTGCCTATTGACTCCCTCAACCTAGTTATAAAATATATTCATGACTCATTATTTTTTAAGATAACAATTAGAAATGACACAAGATAAATTTGAATATTCGTATCTCAAGCCACTTCCACAAACAAAGTTCCTTCATAGTGTGTATTCAAAGATTTTTCATCAACACTTAACGGTAGGCGACATACACTTTTAAATCTTTGAATAAAAGCACTCAAAACAAAATATATATAATTGAAGTGGCCATCAGTGTGTTTTTGAGATTAATAATGATCCCAAAAATTTCTCTATAGCATAATTTGATATGATGGTAGCTTCTAAATAGATGCTTCAAAGCCTTCTCATGGGATAAATAAATATGTTAATATCCCTTGATGTTTGATATGATCGCATTTGGCTTCATGTTAGGATAAGAGGCTATGAGCTTATCTTTGATTATAGGTTCATTGAGCCAGTGCTAAGCATGAAGGTGATCATTAGATCTTATATCTAATGTAGAAATATGTTTGATTTAATATTTTTTTTTTATCTCAAACATACTTAAATTTCTCACTTTCAAAAGAATGAATGATGAAGACATCAAATGAAGAAAGCCAAAATGGAGAGGTATGGATCAATTTTCTCCTATATAGCTTGATATGAGTACTATTACATGATTTTATTTATTTATTTATTTTTTGGTATAAATGACATTTTCAAGCACGTTTAATAAAAATAAAACATCGGACATCTTTCTTCAATTTCAAATATTATGGATATATATATATATATTCTTTTGTATTAGTTTGAATTTTATAAATAAAAATATATGATTAAAGTTTTTATTTTTTAATGTAATTAAAATTTTATTTTAATAATAGATGCAATATATATAGAAAGAGAGAGAGAGAGACAAAGAGAGAGCACTCAATCATATCATCTTTCTTTTTTTTCCATTTTTGTAGTGGGCTAGAGAGAGAGAGGTGAGATTGTGACTTATTAATTGAATGATAAATTCTCCAATCATAAAATTAAACTTCTAATTGAGAGATGCATTTTTCATAAAATTATAAATTATTTGTTATGATGAAATATAAATAAGGGCAAAAAATGCATATAACAAAGCTCAACAAAAAAAAAAAAACACTAAAAAAAATTTATAAAAAATGTATATATTATAAAGTTTCAAATTATAAAACATAGATAATGACAAAAAATCCCTATTTATGAAAGCTTGGGGTTATACGGTACTGAAGTGAATCTCGATCGTTCGCTTTGCAATCGACGCCTGCACTTGCATTATTTCTAATACGAACAATTTTTTTTAAAAAATTTGGCCTTTTCGTAGGCTTTTCGGTTCAATCATCAGGTTCGACCAATTTTTACTCAATATGATGTTGCTCCGATATTCAGAGATTAGCCGACCGATTAGCCGATCGGTTCAACCGGTTGAACTGGAACCGATTATTTGCACAGTTTTGAATTTTTATTATGTGCTGGAAAAATTAAAAGTTTAATTAAATAACAATTTTAAATATAAAATTTCAAGTTTTTTAGAATCATGCTGACGTGTTTGGCTCCGAATATTCTGACGTCATTTTATTCTGAAAAAAAAAATTCAGAGAGACGTGCATCGTCCACCCTCCTCTTTTTCCCACTTTTGTTGTGGGCCACATATTTTATTTTATTTATTTACTTTAGGTTTAAAAGGCAATTTAATTTTACTACCCGCTTTCGTTCCGGTCGCTTTAGCCCATAGTGGGGCCCACTGCTGTACATAGTGGGGCCCACTGCGCACAGTTCTCGACGTCCCCAGTTACCACCTCGGCATGTGGTCCACGCGCGGGGCTCTCTTGCTCACTTCGAGGTTATTATTTTGCTCATATTAATTTATTTAAATGATCGTATAAATTTAAATATAATTTTTAAAGTTTTATATAAATATGGACCATATTGAACGGATCTATATTTATTTATATACTTGATGTGCGTCGCAGCTGACAGCGAAGGTTGACGTGGAAATCGGACGGCTGGAATCATCTGAAGGTGAAAGGTGTGGGAACGCACTAAAAGATGTGAATATAGATCGTTTTATTTATAATGTTAACAAATATATTTGGGACTATTAGGCCTGAGGATGATTGCACCATATAATTTATTTTGTTAGTCAGCTTTAATTTGGAGAGATTATTATATGTGGAGTTCAATTTAGATAAGAGAATCGTCTGAATTTTATGAGCTTGCACAGTCAAAACATAGTTATTGTGCACACTGTGCTTTTACAGCGCATCCTCACAGAATCCGAATGCAGCTCCAATCTGATCTCCACACGTAATAACCTCTTCTTAATTTGGATCCTCAAAGATTATCAAAATTTATATCAATTAACTTGGTTGGTACTTGATATCATTTTAGAGAATTGAAATGTCTTTGACTCATCAATTAGTTATAATCATTGTCGAATCATAGTCGAGGCACCAAATATTGTCATTATTATTAATCTACCCCCTAATTATGGTGAAGAGCCCCTTCATCTATATTTTACGATAGAAATTTCATACTCGCTCAAGTTCTATGTAATGATTGAATTTTCTTTATTTTTATGGGATTCAATTGTTGATTTATTTGTTGAGGTAAGGCCCAATGTGACTATCAATTTAATATGCATTTTGTGTATTGGTTATATGGGAGGTAGATAACTTACTTAGCTTGACTTGTTTGTGAAACTAATGAGCTAAGTATAAAAAAGTCATAATGAATCTCAAAACTCTTAAATCTGTTTTGAGATGAGTGCAATATTAATTTCTTATTCATTTTGAAGGCCATTATAACCAAAATTTGATCAAAATATTCTTAATGGATCGAAACTCCCCACCATTATTATGTGCTCCGAAAAGCTAGCAGATCATGGAGCTGCAAAGGAGAGCTCAGCTCTTCTGGCAGCAATTGAAGGCGCTGATGAAGAAAAACAAAATCCTCACATGGAGACACAAACGACCAGCTTTCCTCCAACTTTTCTCCTCGTTTTTCTTCTTACTCCTCATCTTCTTCATTGATAAGGCGGTGCGGTCACGGTTCTCCTTCTTTACAGCGTTTGATAGCGTGTTGGATTCGAAGGCGGTGGTGTCGCCGCCCATACCGCATTGCGAGGAAAAGTTCTTTATCAAGGAGTCGTGCTTCGATTTTGTCTGGAGCGGCAATAGCAGCGCCAGGATAAGGGGGATCGTGAGGGCCATTATGCAGAACAATCCGGGTCGGCTGATTCCTTCTTATAAGGTTAGGGTTTTTTGTTGTTTTTTATTTAGATTTTGCTTCAATCTTTACTGGTTTTTTTTTTTCTTTTAATCGGGACTTGAAGGGTGGAAGATGGGAGAGAATGAGAGATAGATAAATTAAATGATTTAAAAATTTATCATCGATGAAATATTTTGTCAATAGCTTAAAAATAATCATTTCCAATTTTCATATAATGACATATTGATTTCTCTATTATTCATAATTTATAAGAAAAAGATATATATAATTATTTGATGACAATGAAAATTTTTTTATTTTGATATTACATAAAAAACTAAATATCCATAATTTTAAAGATATTTCTATGATAGATAAAATTAATAAAAATAATAGATTTAATTGGA